CGGTCCTTGTGCTTTGCTAAGCTTGTTCTAAGTAGGTGCTTTAGACCACTGAGCCATCTCACCAGCCCTCTAAGTACCTTTTGATGGTAGAATCCACAGAAATTGCTAATGGGTTAGATTTGGGTTGTGAGAAAGTGGATTCACCTGTGATTCCAAGGATTATGGCCTGAGATAGAAGTAAAATTGTAAGACATCATGATAATATGTTTGATAACTCTTTGTGTATCAGTGTAGTTGGGTATTTGTGGGAGTGGGCAGGAGGAGATCAGGCAAAACGGTGCAGAGAGTAAGTAAGGGGACCAGATGCAAAGAGTGGAAAGAGCATCCTGGGCAGAGGGACAGCCTGCAGAAATGCAGAGCTGTGAAAGGAGAAGGCTGCTGGAATTATCGTTAGTTTTTAAAATACAGGGAGGCAATGACAGGAAATGATCCTGGAGTGACAGGGGAACACTTCACCTACTCCATGACAACAATTTGAATTTTATTTTAGAGACGATAAGGAGACTGGATTTTATTTTTTATTGATTTATTGATTTTTTAAATTTATGTATTTGGTATAGGGTCTCACTATGCAACTTGGACTCCTAGTGACCTTCTGTTTTCAGCCTCTCCAGTGCTGGGATTACAGGCGCGGGCCACCACACCTGGTTTCTGTGGCCAGCTCAGCACACCCTGGGGGCAGGGCCAGCGTGGCACGCGGGGCCGGGGATCAAACCCTGGTGCCTGTGCTTGCCAAACCAGGCGCTTTGTCTGCTGAGCCATCTCGCTGGAATGACATTATCAGATGCACATTTCAGCAAGATCGTCTATGCAGTGCTGTGGAGAAGTGTTTAAAGAGGACGAGATGGAGAGCCCCAGACCTGTAAGCACAGCTAAATGACGACCAAGGACCAAGTCTGGAGCGTATAATCACCTGTCTGTCTTTCTGTCTTTCTGTCTTTCTGTCTTTCTGTCTGTCTGTCTTTCTTTCTTTCTTTCTTTCTTTCTTTCTTTCTTTCTTTCTTTCTTTCTCCCTTACTTCCTTCCTTTCTCCCTCCCCCCTCCCTCCCTCCTCCCTCTCTCTCTCCCTCCTCCCTCCCCCGTCCCTTCTTCCTTTCAACATACAGTGTTGTGGCTACACACAAGTGTAGTTAAACTACATTTATTTGGGGGTCCAATACCATCTCTGTCACTTACTACCTCTGTGTATTTGGTCGGGCTGTTTCATTTTTATGAGCTATTTCCTCATCTACAAAATGAGGATAATAATAGTGCCTTGATCTGTGGATTAGTCTAGTGGCACACGAGTTACATTTTGCTCAATAAATTTTAGTTATTTGAAGCATCATTTTTATTTTATTAATGGATTGGCCATAGGAAGAAGTACAGCTTGACTGCTGGCCCATACGTGAAGAGAATTTTACAGGGGTGAGATGTTCTACCAAGTGTACAGTCAGAACCTAGTAGAATATAGACGACATCTTTGGCATGGGGTTAGGTAGCCGCTGAGCTATCTCCCTAACCTTAGATGCATGAAATTTCTTTCAAATCTCAAGTGCTAACTGAGGCTTGTAAACAGGCTTGCAGAGAAAATCTGCCCTAGTGACTTTGTGACTTGCCTTCCTCTCCGAGGATTGACCCTTGTCTTGATTTCAAAATGATTTTGCATACCCAGCTTAAAAATCATTTGGTTAGCTCCTTATCTGCATTAGGGTCATCTTGCAAAATTTGGTTGCGGTAATCCATGGATTGTGGAGGTAGGAAGGCAAAGATGACAAAGGTGGACAGCTTCCTCCAAGTCATAGCTAGCCAGGCTCCCGGGAGCAGTTCCCTGTGTGCTCCGGCCACCTCCCAGCAGTGCTGGCCTTGCTGCCAGCTCACCCGCTGCTTTGGTGCCTTCTTGCTTTTCCTTGCTCCCCTGCTGTGAGGAGCCTTGAAAAGATTTACTTATCAGGGTCGTAGGACTAGGAGTTACTGGCTTTATGGGGGAAGAACAAACTGTTCGTGCCTTTCACGGGTTTTCCAGTGGGCATCAAAGTAGCTAGTGTCTCATTATCTGGCTTTCATATTTGCAATACATAAACATCTTTTTTTTCTGCTCTTTTTTTCCTTATGACTTTTTTTCCCCAATATGACTTTCTCCAAGAAGAAAAATGGATTTTTGTAGTAAAGCAGAAGAGAGATGTAGAAAGGGGAAAGGAGAGAAGGGGGGAGAGAGAGAGAAAAGGGAAGGAGGAGGAAGGGAGGGAGAAAGGGAGGAAGGGAGGGAGGGAAGGAGAGAGATTGAACACAGTTTCAAGAACAGAAAAATTTATGACTCAGGGGAATCCTTTGAGTAAGTTTAGGGAACCGAGCTGCTGGACATCTCAGCGAATCTGTCCTTTCTAGTCAATAAAAGAGATAGGGTTTGAGGTTCCTTCCAAAACGGGGTTGGCTAAGTTAGCCCCTCCCACAAGCCCAAGGATCTGTTATATCTCTGATCCTGAGTACCTCTCTCACTGTGACCGACCACAGCAAGTACACACACACACACACACACACACACACACACACACACCCGAGGAAAGAGGAAGAAAACAAAAGCTGCTGCTCATGGAAGGTACAAAGGGTAAGACCAAAATGGGTTGATCTGAATCCTTAAGGAGAGAGGGAAGGAGGGAGGGAGGGAGGGAGAGATGAGCAGAGAAAAGCTCGTACTGAAAGCAAGTGCTTGAAGGAGCAGGAGGCAGAAAGCCCTGCATCGAGTTTCCACTCTCTACCCTCAGGAGACAGAAAGAACTTTGGGAGACTTTTTAGGAAACAGAACTCAGGGCTGCGGGCAAGGGAGCCTCTGGAGCCCGCAGCCGCCGGGGGAGCTTCTGAATATTCATAATCAATTTGTATGCAAGGCTGGTTTTTTAAAGGCAAATAACATTTGTAGTGCCTCTCCTCTGAAGAGGCAGCTGCTTCATCTTCGTTCGGAGTCCTCTGGCCTCAGGTCGGGTCTGTACCTCCGCGTGTTTGCTGCAAGATACTGCTTTCTCTTGGTGATTTGTTTTGTTCTGAAATTTCCTGCATACTTTCCTGTTGTGAAATTAGCGGAGCCTTCTCTACAGCGTTACACAGCCAAGGTAACCTAGCAAGAGGCTGTCACAGCTGGAGCCCAGTGTGTCTTGCAAGAGGCTGAAAGTTGGTAGAGATGCATGGGGTGGGGGGGTACCTCGAGGTGAGGGGCAGGGGGCGTGGGCAAGGAGAGTAAGGAGAGTTCTGTTTTTTAAAAAACAGGTCTTATCTGATCAACGGCGTTTAGATTTTGCCTGAAAACTACCGGAGCAGTCTGGCTTGCACAAATGGTGTGCGTCTCTGTCTTTGACCTCTTTTGGGCATTTTCTGCCAGGACAGAACGAGCGGCTTGCCAGCCCTCGGGATCCAGGAAGGAGCTCCCTAACAGCGAGGGGCTGTGGAGCCGTCACGAACGCAGACCTTTACCTCTCTGGCTTCTAAGATCGCCACCCGTTTTTATCACATAGAACATGGAGGAATAGAATGAATAACTAATGGAATGTCTCACTGATTATAGTATATACAGCCACTGGGGCTTACTGAGTCTTTATTCTGTGTTGGGACTGTTCCAAGATTATTACATGTGGTATTTATTCCTCAAATTGACTTTATAAGGTAAAGGCTATTGTTATTATCCCCATTTTTCAGATGACAAAGTTGAGGTTCTGAAAGTGCTGCTGCTGAAGTGGTGCGGGTCTCCAGGGCTGGACCCGGTCAGAGTCTGAGGGTGTTTCTGCGTTAGCCTAGTGTCTCTCTCCACAGAGGATTCTCTCCCTGGCACTAGATTCGGAGTTATCAAACCCTGGAAGCTCTGGGCGAAATGATGCTGATGAGGCCCCAAGTCTGTGAAGGGACTCGCAGCCAAGTTCCGTACGTTTTTCTCATTGTTATTCATGGTCATTCTTTATATGTTAGAGGAATAGATTATTATGGGCTTTTGCAAAAGGGAGAAATTGAGGGTGGGAGAGGTTAGGTGCTATAAATCCACAGCTAACTGTTGAAAGGCTAAACCAGACTAGAAACGCTCTGCTTCTGGTTTCTCTTCTAGCCTGCGGGGCAAGCCTGGTCATCTCTGAATTTGTGTCCCCACCCCCACCCCTCAGCTAGTCCTCACTAAGTCATTTTCAGTTCCTCAAGAAAACTGTTCCCTTCCTGTCTCTCAGACTGTATTGCAAGGCCCTGAATGTCTTCTTCTTCCCCTTTGTTCTGGAGCCAGCCTTTTCGAGTTTGAATCCTGGTTCCATTAGTTACTGTCCACCTCAGCTTCCTTGTCTCTGAAATGAAGAGGATAATCATACCTACCTCCTAAGGTTGTGTAAGGACTGATTAAAGTTCTTGGAAGGGACCTTCATGTAGTATGGTCAATAAATCTTAGCTGTTGCTCCTTCAAGCTGCGCCTTGAGCGTCATTCTCCCCCTAAGTTTCTTCAGCCCTCTGAGCCTAGGTCAGGGCCTGTCTTGAACGTCTCTGCTGTGTAATCGCCCTTGCTGCCTGAGGCAGCCCGCCTCAGACTCCTCTGCATACCTGCTCACTGGATCACCGTTCCCCTCGCCGATTACAGTTTGTTTATCTTGGATGTACATGCCTGTGTATTTGTTTTTCAGTTTCCAAACTCATGGGAATTTTATTGTCAGTGTGGGCAGGATAGTGGGAGACGTGCCTCAGTTATGACAGAGGTACAGGAGGCAGCTTTGGGGGGCACCCGCAGCAGTCCTGGAGGGCCTGGTCCCAGAAGCATCAAGGAAGTAGACAGATGCGGAATATGACTGGTACGGGAGACTCCTCGTACTAAGTGGTTAGAGTGCAGTGGTTAGAGTGCAGTTCTGCAAGCTTCTCCACGAGATCCACAAGTCTTGTGAGTTAGCGTGCTGGTCACACTTGCCAGCCTCCAGGACAACTTCTCCAAGTTGGTGTCCATTTCAGAGCTTTCTGGGAGTGGTGAACATTTATGCAGGCACGTAAGGTCCTCACTAGCCACTAGCACCTTCAGATCTTTAGTCCAGGCAATTCAAGTAAGTATTATTATTTTAGCAATGTTCCTTTCAAGAGTTTGAAAATGGACCTTTTGAGTTGGGTGTGGTGGCACATACCTGTACTTCAGCTACTCTGAAGGCTGAGGCAGGAAGATCACACGTTTGAGGCCAGCTTGGGCAACTTAGTGAGATCCTGCCTCAAAACAGGATCAGACAGACAGACAGATAGACAGACAGACAGACAGACAGACAGACAGACATTAGGAATGTAGCACTTACCTAGCATGTGTGATACTCTGGGCTTAACCTCCAGTACAGTAAAAAAGAGAAAAGTAAAAAGATCCTTGAGTTTGCAGGAGGGTTTCCTCCCTGAGGGTGCACAAAACTCTTACAGTCTGTGAAGATACACACAGGTAGATACACTGAAAAACAAAATGTGTCCCTTCTAGGTGGATGGTCTCCCTGCAATCCCAGAAAGGGAGGCTGACCCCAGGGAATGCTGAGCTATGTCCCCAGCCCTTTAAAAAACATACTTTTGAGACAGCATCTGACTAATTCACCAAGGCTGGCTTTGAATTTGCTATCCTTGTGCATCAGCTTCCTGGATAGCTGGAATTATAGGACTGCAGCACCATATCCTGATAAGTAGATGATCTTAATTACCAGTGTGACTCCATTCCAGGGCACCTAGTTTAGTCAGTATCTCTACGTGAACATTAACGTGGATTCCCCACTGAGGGGCCGAAATGGAGATTTTGGATGCTTCATAGCATAACCTTGCTCTTCTGAACAGAACATCTAGTTCTGTAAAAGCCCCATTTTATAGCTACCTTGCAGTCTGAGACAACGTATTTTGGCAATGAAAGAAAAACACAGCGGAGCTGACCCTGAATAAAATCATAAAGTACATTGCGTTTGTTTCCAGCACCCTCCCTTTCCGCTTCCTGGCACACCTTCAGACCAATGCGACAAATACCATTGTATGTCTAACCATTTATAAGTCTGTATGCCAGCCAGTTCCTTGGGCTACACGCAGTTCGCTCACAATGAAGTGGGTTGACATAACCAACTCTAGTCAAGCCAGTCTCCGTGAGGTGCCAATAATAACAGCTAACGTTGATTATTTGTTATGTGCCAGACGTTGTAATGTTTTGTGTCGTCTCCTGTAATATTCACAGCAGTTCTATGATTTTAGTTTCTGCATTTTACTGTGTGGAAAGAGGTCACTTAGCCAAGTTGGTGTAGCTAGTAATGGACAAATGGGGCATTTGTGTGGTTAGGCCATAAAGCTTGGGTCCCAACAAAGACATTCCTCCTGCCTGCAAGTTATAGTATAAGCCTAAGGAAAGTGTCTTGACAACCAGAATTGGGAGTGATGGCTGGGAAAACTTTTCAAGGCTTGGGCCTAGAAAGATGAGTGTTATTTTGTGCCCAAAACAAGATTCTTTCCCACTCTAGCAATGCTTAAAGAACTTTCCTTTCCTTTCTTTCATTAAAAATACAGCATAGCTTTTTTTAAAAAAATTTTTATTTATTT